GTGCCGTGGCCTTTCACCTCCCCCAGACCACATTCTGTCATCCAGTTGCTTAAGACCGCCAGGTATATGTTATGCATTGCTTTTTCTTGTCTTTCTTTCCTTCTGTTCGACCTGTGAGTATCAGATTCTCCAGACCCTCCTTTCTCCTTAAGTGTCCCAGAAATTTCATCTGTTTCTTCCTGATGTTAAATATAAGCTTCCTCCTTGTTTGTATCCTCTCCCAAATCTCATCGTAGCTCACACGCTCGGTTCATGATATCCTTAGCATCCTTCTGTAGAACCATATATCTGTTTCCACAAGTCTCTTCTTCAACTTTGAGCGACCGTCCAACATTCGCTGCCGTATAGGTGGGCAGACGTCACGTAGCAGCTCAGTACTCTTTCCTTTGTTACCAAATAAATCTTCGGAACCCTGCCTGTAAAAGACCGTTACCCATTACCGGGGGTCTTTGGATAGACTTTTGGACGCGTGCGTCACTCGTGGGAACAATATGAGAACTAAGTGGTTAAACAGAGATCCCGACTCTAAGGTGGGAATCTACCTGATGTCGACAAATCTGCCGAAGAAACAAACTCCTACACAAATAATGAATCTCCAAGCCCCCACGACCGGGATAATCCCAATGATAGCCTTGCTAATTTTCAAACTAGATCCATAAACATACATTTAAAGAAAGAAAAGAGAAAATGGTGTCATGAGGAATACAAAATTGTGATGAATGCATTTTATGAAAATCTTGGACAATCAATTAGAAAGTACATTGACGAAAATAAACGAGCCAATGTAAGAAGGCACATAATGCGAAATAACCGATTGACAGATGCTGAAATTAAAGAAATAAAAAGAACTGCAACTAGAATAAGTGAATCAAAAGAACATGAAAGGGAACCAGAAATGGACGTAAAAAATACTATCATCACACAAACCACAGATCATAAGGAAGAAACTGAGAAATACACTAATTACCGTGAAGATAATGCTGAAAGTTTAGAAGATCTGGGAGGCGTGATCTTATCGTGAAATAAAATGAATCCAAAACATATTGAACCGAATTATTTTACGGAAAAAAAGAATAGTATATAAGAATCCAACGAAGAAATCACAGAATATTGAATTACAACCAACAAAGCATAACCTTAAAACTATTAAACTCTACAATGCAGCACTCAAATTCTGGATTAAGTAGCAACACATATAAGTCTCAAGGAAGCAATCTATGCATCAATAATAGCAGCAACTAAAAAAATTAAACGTCAAAGTACAAAAAAATCAGTCTCACAGACCTAAAGATCCACATTGGAAAAGAAAAATAGAGAAAGAAATTGAACAATTTAGAAGTGAATTATCAATACTCGATGAACTGACAAGAGGAATAAATGTAAGGACTAGAAAAGACAGAAAAGTCAAAAGAAATAACAAGATTAGCAATGAAAATGAAGTCCTATCAGCTAAAGAAAAATTAAAGTAAAAAATACAACTAAAGGCTGAAAAAATCAAATCAGGCGCTATGAAAAAAAATCAAGATTCTACTGACAGAACAAGATATTTCAAACTGACGCGAAGGAATTATCCAGAGAAATAAAAAAAAAAAAAAAAATGAAGTGACCTCTCCGCCCCCCGACAACAATGGAAGAAGTTATACAGCTCTAAGAAAATATATGAGCTTGCCCCAAAGAACATAACATAAAGAAGCAAACTGGATTACACAAGAGGTTGAACGGATGAAAAATAAACCAAAAAAAAAATGGGAGGAAAATCACAGAAGAGGATGTTGGATATGCACTGAAAAAAAGCACACATCTGGATATCTCCAGAAATAGATAATATTCCTAACTTTTGGCTCTATTATCTAAATACAGCACTCAAAAAATATCCAAAGAACTTTAAGAAATGGTCAGTGATCCTACTAAACTTCCGGCATGAATAACCAAAAGAATTACCTTTGTTCTACTCAAGAATGGTGACACAAATGCCCCCAAAAACTATAGACCAATTACATGTCTTCTTACAAACTGTTGACATCTATTCTGACAACAAGACATATTCGTTCTTAGAAAAGAATGACATATACCTCTAGAACAAAAAGCGTGCAAAGTAGCTCTTACGGATGTAAAGACATATTACTTATTAATAGGATGATCTTGGAAAACTGCTTGAATTCAAAGAAAAATCTCAGTACTGCCTGGATAGATTGCCGTAAGGCATTCGATAGTGTACCCCATTACTGGATCTTTTTTTAAAATGTATATAAGGTATCGCCCGTCGTCATCATTTTCATCAAGCAAAGTATGTCGATATAGGAAACAACACTTCACCTCAATCATATAAATGGAATCTATAAGTCTGGGGAAATAAAAATCAACAGAAGAATATTTCAAAGTGACCCTTACTATTTTGTATATCCCTAATCGCATTAACCAATTAACTTAACAGGACGGAATATGGTTATAAGATATTTCAAAAGAAAATAAGACATCTATTTTACATGGATGACTTAAAGTTATATGATAGAAATGACAGTGATGTGGAAGGTCTCCTGAAACGGTAAAATGTTTCAGTAATGCCAGTTGAATGGAATTAGGTTTGGATAAATGTGCCAAAGCCACAATTTTACGAAGATCACTACAACAAACCCCCTCTATTAGCTTAGACCCTGGGGGTAACAATCAAAAGTTTAGAGCAAGAAGAGGCTTATAAGTATTTCGGTGTAAATGAGGGTGAAGGAATTCACCATAACAAAATGAAATAAATAGTCGGAAAAGAGTACTATAAAAGGATGCGACTGATATTAAGAACTGAACTAAATTCTCAGAATAGAATTATGGCCATTAATAGCCTTGTCATCCCAGTGGTTCAATATAGTTTCAATATCTTGAACTTGATTCTAAATTATATCAGACGAATGGATTCTAAGAAAGCTCCTTTCTAAGTAAAACATGCATCATCCAAAGGCTGATGCAGGCAGTCTATACATATCCCGTAAAGAATGTGCAAGTGGTATGACAATTCTAGCTGAATATGACAAGGCAACAAATACTGACTTACTAACATAGATGAAAACAACAAAGGATTGGATCATACAATTAGTCAAACAACGCGAAAACAGAAGGAAAAAATGTTCAATCATGAAAGAAGGTTGTAAATACAATCGATATTTACATTTGGTAGATTCTGTAAAAAACAAAATAGGATCCAAGAACCAACTGTTGCAGCAAAATATATGAAAAAGAAAGCCAAGAATAAAGCTCTTGAACAGATAAAACAATGCTGGCAAGACAAACCTCTCCATGACCAATATACAGAACATGCTAATAAATCAGATATTGATAAAGTTAATACTCATCGATGGTTACGAGTATTTGGATTAAAGGCTGAAACGGAAAGTTTTATTCTTGAAGCACAAGACCTGAGTCTTTTCACCAAAAACTTTCAAGCAAATATCATACATAATAGTGTGGTTCCAAAATTCAGGTTCTATGACAGATATCAGGACACCATAGACCATCTAATCTCAGGATATTCTGTTCTTGCGCTAAATGAATATAAAAATCGTTACGATAGATGGGGAGGGTAATACTTACACTGGACAATGTACAAACGCTTTGGAAAAGATGGTAATAAACACTGATAACAACATCACCCAGCACCGGTTACAGAAATAGAAGACATCACAATTCTTTGGGATTGCATCATCTTTACAGAAAGGAAGATTGAAGCAAATAGGACGGACATTATTGTCAAAAACCGAAAAGTAAAAACTTGCCTATTAAATAATATGGCTTGCCCAGCGGACTGTAAAATAGCAACCATGGAATTTGAAAAAAAATATCGAAGTATAAAAACCTAGAAATCGAATAGAAAAAATGTGGAAATTGAAAACAAGAATAGTAACAGTCAGAGTAGGTTCGCTTGAACATAGCAACACATTGATAAATTCCAGCTTAATAGAAATACAAAAATTGTCTTAATAAGAACCAGCACACTAAGATGAACTTTGTCAATGTAACGCTAGTGATGTTGTAGGCGTTAGAAAAACAAATCATGAAATGTAGACATAATAACACACTAGTACCTGTCTTAGGTCTTCCCGCAGACTCGGTAGGTAGTGTGACTATAGCAGAAATCGAAATGTAATGTGGATAGTATAATAATAATATATTTCCCTGAATGAGTGGAAAATGTCATGAAGTCATTTCTGACCTTAGGTCTCTGATTGGGACCCGGAAGGAAAGGTGTATACAATGGAAATCAAAGGAAATAATAATAATAATAATAATAATAATAATAATAATAATAATAATAATAATAATAATGAAATCGAGATCTCAAAAATGTGGCACATGGGAACATCAACAATTCCTGTTGTAGTTGGAGCCCTCTTATTGGTTGGAAAAGATTCCAGCAGACTAATTGAAGGGATTACTGGAAGCCCATGCCTCAAAAAAATACAAAAAAATTGTTCTCATAAGTACAACCCACACTTTACGGAGGGATTTATCTATGTAAAATATTTTTATTTTTATTTTATTTTTTTTTTTTTTGTCAGTCGAAAGTGTCATGAAGCTATTTCTAACCTTAAGTCTCTGAGCGGGACCCGGAAAGGAATGTGTACACGCCAGAAATCAAAGGAAATAATAATAATAATAATAATAATAATAATAAGAAGAAGAAGAAGAAGAAGAAGAATGGAATAACAGATCTGGTGGAAATGATGAGGAAGATGATGATGCTACTTTTGGCAGTGTTGGATCCTGATACTAATGTCAGAATTTCTTGTGATTGTGTTGATGGACAAGATGACAGCATTTCGGGAGAAAAAGACAAAAAACGGGACCGGATTTGGGATCGCAATCTTACTGATGCTGATGGTAATGATGATAGTGATGATGATACTGAAGTTTACAGAACATGTGACGATGAGCGTACTGATGACAACGATTGTAAAATACTTGGGAACAACAGCAATCAACGTTTTTCGAGTTTTATTATGACGGCGATGATGACGGTGATAAAAGTGGCCACGGTGGTGTTGGTTGTCGTCGGCGTTGCGGTTGTAGCAAGAAATCCTGATAATGACGCTACCGAATATGGCGGTAGTAATGACGACCAGGATGAATCGTGCGCCAGCGGGGAGAAAGGCACAGAGATCTGGTGAACGACGAAGACTTCTGAAGATGCCGCAACTCGAAGGAGAAAATGCCGAAACTTCCTTCAGGTGCTCCATCTCAAACGATAATTTGACATGAAGAGAGATGAAGGTCAGTACCACGCAGAAGATTCTCCTGCTAAAAGATGCGAAGAAGAACACTCTGGTTCTCAAAATACGATGACACAGTCAGCATCAGAACGATTTTAATCAAGACATGAGAAGTTTGAGAAAAGCTGAGTCACAGAGACACAGATATTTTCATTTGTATAAACTTAAATATAGTGATCATAAGTGTAGGCTTGAGGACGGGGGTTTGGTAAGGCTCTCCGTATCAGATTCGTTGCAATAGAATCAAAATTTAAAATAGTAAAATATTGTCACGGGTATCTACTCTAAAATAGAACAGGCTGTATATATGTTCGCATCTCACTCTCTCCATATCTATCTCTGTCTATTCATATCTATCTATCTATCTATCTATCTATCTATCTCAATATGTTAATATCTATTTCTGTTCATATCATTTCTCTCTATCTATGATCATATCTATCTATCTATATATCTATCTCAATCTTTTCATATCTATCTATCGCTGTTCGCATGTCTATCTACCTGTATATCTATCTCAATCTGTTCATATTTATCTATCTCAGTCTGTTCATATCTATCTATCTATCTATCTATCTATCTATCTTTGTTCATATCTATCTCAATCTGTTCATATCTGTCTATCTTTGTTCCTCTATATCTATAAATTTATCTCAATCTGTTTATGTCTGTCTCAATCTGTTCATTCTCAATTTGATCATATCTATCTCAATATGTTCATATATATATATATATATATATATATATATATATATATATATATATATATATATATATATCTGTGTGTGTGTGTGTGTGTATAGTCATCCAGAGACAGACTGTTTATCTAAATAGATAGATAGATAGATAGTATTTACAACATTATCCATCAAATGATGACCTACATAGATAAGAATAATTTTGTTTAACTACCATAGTTAAGATTGAAACCGTTGCAAAGGCTGTCAATCAAGAGTTTTCAAAATCTTATTTTTTTTATCAAATTCGTTGCAAATATACTAAATTTAAGTGAGAATAGAAATATTTTCTTCATAAGTTAACCAAAATGTAGAGCATCAAATTGCGCGATCGCTTTAATCTTTCTAATTTTTCAGTGTTATATTTTGGTTAATCTTAAGATGCAGCATTTATTTAAAAAAAAACAACTGAATAACTGTATTCATGTTTTGGAATGTTGGTTCACTGTGTCGTACGAGACAATTTTTCTCTCCAGAATCTATCTTACATATCTATAAGTCTACCATTCGTCCATGCTTAGAATAATTACTGACATATATGGTCAGATGCCCCTGCTATTTATCTTGAAATCCTTGATAAAATCCAAAAAAGAATCTGCAATATTCGGTGGTTCGGCTTCAGTCACTTTCTCACCACCGTAAGGTTCCCTTCCTGTGTCTTTTCTATGAATACTTTCATGTTAATTGTTTGGATAAGCTCTTCGCTATGGTACCTATATTTTTTTTTTAATTTAAGCGCAGTATCTAGACTGGCGTCGAGATCTCATAAATTTACAGTTGAGATGATTAGATTTTTTTTAAGCATTTCACCCCAAGCAAGGTGGGATGTCACTAATACGCAGGGAGTTACAGAGTGGGAGCGAGGGTAAAGAGATGTGATGGAGGAAAGGATGAAGAGAAGAACAGGGGATTGTTCAGGGCATCTTTAGCTAACAGTTTATTTTCCCAGATTTCTCGCTTTTGGAACTCCCTTCTGGCTATATGCTGAGAAAACCTATTTTATTGTGTGTCCTGGGTATGACGATAAACTACATCCGCGTCCAGGGTAAGACGATAAACTACGTCCAACAACAAGGCCTCTGGTCAGGAGGTTTTGAAAAGCGTGGAATCACCTCTTAATTGCTGGTGTTCCCAGGTCTACCCTGACCCGGGGTGGTAGCACCTGTTAAAAAAAGCATTAAAAATGTGTAAAAATAGGTTTTAATACCAGAAATACTTTGTAAAAATTATTACCAGAAGCAAATTTTCAGCCATACGTTTTTGAAAAAATATTACCAGCTATACGCTTTTGAAAAAATAATATTACCAGATATACGTTTTTGAAAAAATATTACCAGCTATACATTTTTGAGGAGAAAATATTAACAGAAATAGATTTTTGACAAAACAAAAATATTACCAGGAAAAAAAAGTTGTCGGCATTAAATGACCCATTGAGGTTTTGATATGCCGTAAAACAAAACAAACCAAACTATTTTATTGTATAACATTTCCATTCATGTCAAATATATAATGCTCTTAAAAGGTGAATTGTACAAATATATATGTGCGCGTGTAATGTTTCTTGATATTCCAAAATCGATCAGAATTTTGCATAATTTCTAAAGCATGTAATTCAAGGAAACCTAATCACTTTAAAAAATAAATCTTCGTCTTCGGGCTTTGTAAATTTTGAAAAGACTCAATTCTGCCAAGTTTTTGATGTTGAATGTACTCTTGGATAGCACCATCTTTGTCGTGTAAGAATTGGTGAGAGAAAAGGAATATCCCCTTCAACAATTCAGAGCCTGTTGGGTGAACTAATACTGAAACAAAATAGTATGAAAAAAAGAGAACTGTTGTTAAAAGTGAAACACTATATTTATATACAAAATATATAAACATTAGTTAATGTCTTATTAGAAGACATTAAAAATTAAGTTGTCTGTCTTGCCAAGTAGGTTTAGGCACACGAGATAATAAACAAGCAAAAATGATGACAAAAGTTTATCCTCGTATGTCAAAGTGCTTCATCAAAGATAAACATCTTCAGCTGGTATAGTAAGAGATGATAATAGTATGTCTTGTTTGTCTGTCAAGAAGTGAGATCCTTGGCTGGCTTTTTTTTCCTGCTCGTATAGGGTTGTGACATGATAGTTTGCATGTAAGGTTAGATAATTATTTCAAAAGGGACATGGCTATTCTCATAATGTAACAGAACTTTTTTAACCGGTCCATGATATCCTTAGCATCCTTCTGTAGAACCACATCTCTGTCGCCTCGAGTCTCTTCTTCATCTTTGAGACAATCACAGATTAGTTTAAGCGGTTCCCGACTGGTAGTTGCGATAAAAAAAAGTAACTGGAAAAAATAATTTCTATTTGTTTCACTATTTTTTTTAATTATATCAGTCTTTTTTGCCTGTTGATGGAAATTTTAATCATTGGTCGGGGTGGGGGGATGTGACAGGAAATTAGGGGTATTTGGTTTTTCTTACCCATTCCTATCATTGTCTGACGTGTTGAATTGCCGTTGATAGTTAATATGATTGGCGATATGACAGAGCAAGAGATAATATTTTTAAATCGACTTCATCTCAAAGGCAATATTTAGCACTATAGTGATTTACTAATGTGGCACAAGACCGAGATTAAGGAGCACCTAGTGAGGATTGAACTCATTAATTAGTCGTTATTGATCGAGTGAGGCAAGCTTGCTAACCATTACACTATGTCGTATAAGCGATGCTTTTCCACGTCATCAGATAAATTTACTATATACAGGTTGATTGAAAAGTATCTCTATTTTATGTATGAGTTGCCAGCCAGAAGTTCTGACTTAACATTTTCAGTTTTTTTTTTGTTTGTTTGTTTATTTTTTTAGGGGGGGGGGTTAAAGGATAAGTCTGCTATATCAAACCAAGGTTTTGGAAGAACTTGAAGGGCGAATACAAGAAGTTATGTCTTCTCTGATAGCTTCAATCTTCAGAAATTTAAATGTAACGTCAATCGCCATCTTCTTGATGGTGATTGAACACCGTTCATCTTTTGTGCTTTCTTCAATCCTGCTTATTCTCACTCTTCTCTATCACTTTCCCTCTGTATACTAGTGGCATTACCGCTTTTCTTGGGATAAAATTATTATAAAAAAAAACAGTCTCACATACCATTACAACTGTTGTGAGTTCGATCCTCACTGGATCCATGGTACTTGTAGAAATCCTAAACGTAACAATCCAACTATTAATCTATTGAATTCGTTGGTAAATACGCACTCAACACCAGTGACCTTGTGCTCGACTAAACTAAATCTAATCAACAATTATTACACAGTCAGTAACAATTTTAAATGTCAAGTTAAAAATTGTTTCGCAATTGCATTCTATATTCTATATTCGAATCAGAAGCAAACATTTAAATTCATGGTGGTGAACCCTTCCGTGCACTATGTTTATGAATTGGTGTCCGTATTAATCAAGAAACTGTTTTTTTTTTGTTTGTTTTTTTTTTTCATAAGAAACAAAAAAAAGAGTTCTCAACTGCTATGGGACATCGGTCCTTTTTATATGGCAATGTATGCTGGACAATTTCCTCACAGATGAAGAGGAGATTTGTGACAACAGAGATCTGTTTCTACAAAAAGATGCTGGTATCACCATGGACAGTGCGTGTAAACAACAATTACATTTTAAAGAATACAGAAACAAAAAATGCACTTGTACTTTTTTTTACCATTTTTCACGCCATACAAATCTCAAGAGCCACTCAAGTTATATGGTTGTTTATGTACGTAGGAGGAGGTAGTAAGAAGTGCAGATTGTGGGAATATGAAGGACATGAAAGATTTAAAATGTCTAGAATATGTAAGGAGGAAAGGAGTCTTGGAAAATTTGTCACACACAGGACATGCAAGAAAGACAGAGGGAAAAAGCGAGTAAAGCAACCTAGCGAGAAATGGGTGGCAGAACAATGAGTGGGGAGGTTAGTGAAAAATCATTGCTAAGAGACACAAACGATAGGAAATTGTGGACAACCATGATCACCACGTCCTGAAGGGACACGGCACATAGAAGAATATTAGATGAAAATATTCGCTTGGCGGCTTTCTTAATTACATACTTTCTATTGACGTTACTAGTGGGTATGGGATCCAGAATAAAATCCATAATTTCGGTCGCTGGTTTTCAAGGCAGGTGCACCCTCCTCACTTGAAAGAGTGGCAAAATACAATCTTCTTACCCAATTCCTCAATGCAATGACCTTTAGCCTCGTGCCAAACTAATGTACGGTTTCAAAAATGATGCTATTAGCTGTCAAAAAATTTGAAAACATATCGCAAACGCTAAGCAAGTGTAGCTTTTTTTGGTAGAAAGAAAAAAAGGAAAACTAACTTAACCCGGAATATAAAATTCGTATTTCAATCCAGCGAATGATTTGGAGAGATTAGTTGGCTGTTGGTGGAGAGAGAGAGAAAAAAAAGAACAAAAAAAAACAGTCACGTGGTATGAATATTTCGGGCGCTTTTTTAGTGTAGCTTTTCATTGCTGTTTACGTCAGCGGCACCCACACACTTGTCTTTTTAACCCCAGCTTTGCCACCGGAGCCCCGAAGATTTCAATCTAGAACGAATAATCTGGAAGCTATATTTTAGGGGTCTTTTTTTCTGAAAGTGTTCAGAAAATCGTTTTTACACGGTGTGTGCGCGCGCGCGCGTCTGTGTGTGTGTGTGTGTGTGTGTGTGTGTGTGTGTGTGTGTGTGTGTGTGTGTGTGTGTGTGTGTGTGTGCGCGTGCTTGCGCGTGTGCATGCATGAGCATATTCGCTTTCGTTTCATTTGTTGTTATTTTTTTTTCTTCTCTTTTTAACTGTCTGCATGTTTGAAAAGTGACGTCCAAAATTTTTAGGGGGAAAAAATTAGGAAAGACAAACAGTAAATAAATAAAAAAATAAATAAATAACTCTTTAATCAGGTCACACAAACTAAAAAAAAAAAAAGAACCTTCTGGGGAGCATTTTTTATTTATTTTTTTTCGTCCCTCATATTCACATTGTTAATAGGCATGCTCAAAAACAATGTGCGTGGGTGCACGTGGATTTTCCTTATTTTTTATCTTTTTTCTTTCTTTCTTTCTTTCGTGCATTCTTTCTTTCTTTCTTTTGATTGCCTTCCTTTGAGGAGGAATGCTTTCGTTTTTCTTTCTTCTAAATTTTTGTTCATTTTCTTTCTTTATTTTCCATTTTTTTTTTTTTTTTTTTTATCGTATGACGACCTTGCAAAATGCTCCGAGAGTCTTGTTTATTACCTTAGAGCGATACCAGTGAAAAGATTCAGCACTCTGTCTCTGGCCGGAAGTTAACGTGTTTCCCGCCTCCAGACGCGGAAAAATGCCAAAACGGAAGTCACGTGACCAGCTCTGAATGCACCGCTTAAGAGCATTTCTTTTGTGTAGAGGGAAATTTTCAGTGAAACAAAAACATAAAAAAAATAATTTTTTTTTAATTCCTAAAAAAAAAAAGAAAAGAAAATGCATTTCGTCCAAAGCCTAACTCAGAGCAAAAAACAATTGTATTAGTAATTGATGTGTTCGTGTGCGTAAGAAAGAGACGATGAAGGAAGAGTTAAATTAAAAACAACTGTAAAACGAGAACAACAAAAGGGAAAGATATCATCACAAGTTGTACCTCTAGCGCGCCTACTATTGAAATTACTTTGTGACTTTAGATTTCAATAAAAAAAAGTCAGTCCAGTGCACTCTTTATTCGTGATTTCTATTCTTATACCGCATACGACAATTACCTTTATTTGTGTTGTACTTTACAAGCTTTTCTCTACTTTAACTGAATCAAGTTGGACGTTGGCATATGTTTATAGATTGCTGTAAAACGTGTTTCTTTCATGGTGGCCAGAAGCAGACAATCAATATGTTTGGCAGACGGCAAAGTTTCTGCAAATAATCCTAAAAGTTTCTAAACAAAACAAGAATTTAAAACGAGAAAATTAATGAAGGAATATGCATAATGCTTTCAAACCGTGAGGAGACATTCATGGACTTCTTGTAAAAATATTCTGAACATTTCCTAAACGGGACAAAAGATCAACTGAGAATTATAAAATCAAGGAATATGCATAAGGCTTTATACCCGTGAGATGACATAGATGGACTATTTGTAAATATATTCTGCACACTTCCTAAACGGGACAAAAGATCAAGTGAAAATTATAAAATCAAGGAATATGCATAAGGCTTTACACCCCTGAGATGACATAGATGGACTTTTTATAAATATATTCTGAACACTTCCTAAACGGGACAAAAGATCAACTGAGAATTATAAAATGAAGGAATATGCATAAAGCTTTACACACGTGAGATGACATAGATGGACTTTTTGTAAATATAGTCTGAACACTTCCTAAACGGAACAAAAGATCAACTGAGAATTATAAAATGAAGGAATATGCATCAGGCTTTACACCCGTGTGATGACATAGATGGACTTTTTGTAAATATATGCTGAACACTTCCTAAACGGAACAAAAGATGACCTGAGAATTATAAAATGAAGGAATATGCATAAAGCTTTACACCCGTGAGATGACATAGACGGACTTTTTGTAAATATATTCTGAACACTTCCTAAACGGAACAAAAGATCAACTGAAAATTATAAAATGAAGGAATATGCATAAGGCTTTACACCCGTGAGATGACATAGATGGACTTTTTGTAAATATATTCTGAACACTTCCTAAACGGAACAAAAGATCAACTGAGAATTATAAAATGAAGGAATATGCATAAGGCTTTACACCCGTGAGATGACATAGATGGACTTTTTGTAAATATATTCTGAACACTTCCTAAACGGGACAAAAGATCAACTGAGAATTATAAAATGAAGGAATATGCATAAGGCTTTATACCCGTGAGATCACATAGATGGACTTTTTGTAAAAATATTCTGAACAATTCCTAAACGGAACAAAAGATGACCTGAGAATTATAAAATGAAGGAATATGCATAAGGCTTTATACCCGTGAGATGACATAGATGGATTTTTTGTAAATATATTCTGAACACTTCCTAAACGGGACAAAAGATCAACTGAAAATTATAAAATGAAGGAATATTCATAAGGCTTTACACCCGTGAGATGACATAGATGGACTTTTTGTAAATATATTCTGAACACTTCCTAAACGGGACAAAAGATGACCTGAAAATTATAAAATGAAGGAATATGCATAAGGCTTTACACCCGTGAGATGACATAGATGGACTTTTTGTAAATATATTCTGAACACTTCCTAAACGGGACAAAAGATCAACTGAAAATTATAAAATGAAGGAATATGCATAAGTCTTTACACCCGTGAGATGACATAGATGGATTTTTTGTAAATATATTCTGAACACTACCTAAACGGAAGAAAAGAACTGAAAACGATTAAAAGGAAAGAATATGAATAAAGTTTTGTACACAAAGTATGGTTCTGATGTACCCGACTTAAAAGGGGGTGAGATGAGAAGCGGACGGCTTCTCAGAGAACGCGTGAATATACATGATAACCAAAAAGTGCAATAAAACTAACAAATGCTAAAAAATTCGGACAGAAAGCTTCAAACCCGTAAGCTCCGTATGGGAAAAAATGAAGAGTTCAAAAGACAAATGAAATTACTGAACAAATTATGTAGACGCAGAAAGCATTCTTCATGGAAAACAAAAATGATCTCGAATGTCATGATATCTGTCGAGACAATATCGAAATAGTTACAATTAACAAAACAAAAACAAGATTAACTAGGACAATGGTAACTTTGTCTCTTCCAAAATAATTGCTTGGGATCTCACACTCTCTCCCCGTTTTCTTTCTACTTTTCTAGACTTTCCCACTAATTCGTAGTCGCTATCAGTTGCCTTGTGACGTTCTTTATATATTAATATGTTAATATATAATTGATTATTAATATTTAATCCCGTCCAAGGTCATAAAAGATCTCTTTTCCACAACGATTTGCGCGGTGGGGAAAGTTAGATTTCGTCAAATCTGAAATGTAGAAAGATTGCCGTAACTGCGTGATGCGATGTTGTAGAAAAATAACATTAATAAATAAATGGCAAGAGATTTTTTTGTGTTTGGCACACTAAACAACAGTATCTGACTGCCAACTCAGTTGCATCATAGAATAATGCCTGTTTAAGGAGGGGGGGGGGTATTTTAAAAATCATTTCACCCCAAGCAAGACAATAAAACCACTAAAACTGACAGGGTTACAGAGAGTAAAAGAAACCGAGAAAATGTTATTAAGGGGAAAGGACAATAAAAGAACGGAGCTCAAAATGACAAAAGATGACGATTGACATTTAAATTTTTAAAGATCGTAATTGACAGAAAAACAAGATGCAGACAAAAAGTGCGAAAGAAGAAACTATCAGAATAGAACTTACGTTGTCATGTAACAATTTCAACAATAAAATGATGAGACCTAGCTGCCAATCTAGTACTACCCTTCAATTCGTGAAGCCAAGATACGAAAGAAGAGAGCTTATCAGAACAATAATGCGCAGTGAGGTTACTTGTGATTATTTCTATTGAAATGTATGTGATGAGGAGGCATCATTATTTACATTCGAATTAATTATAGTAATTGTGAGTTCAATCCTTGAGCTAGTTAGTACAGACTAAAGACGAAACGGAAACAGGGCTAGCAATAACTGAGCAGTACTAAAAAAGAACAAATATCCCTAGACAGTCGAACAAGAAGAATCTGCCCCTTGGTTTAAATAAATGGTTTTGTTCGAAATTCCTTGAATATTACCGGGATCAACAGACACCTGAAGAAGACCAGACGGTACAATGATCGAAACGTTGCGATAATAATAAAGATGAAGATATTAGTAAATGTATAATAATATAAATAATTACTTGTGATTAGTTGCCAAATTAGTTGCCAGGTCGTTCGAACAGTTTTGGGGATAGGAAAAATGGGTGGTGGCTTTCCGAGCAGCACATCGTTATATCACTGCTATGAAAATCTGTCTGTGAAAACCAGTGGAACGACATTGATTGGAACTTTGGAAGTAAAGATGAGCCTACAAGACAGAAGGAGAAAAATATGCAAAATATTGACTGCAGCCGTTTCAACAGATTATGGAGTAAAATTGATGGAAGAAAAAGGAGAAAATAGAAATATCAAGATCTTATCTGAGAGCGACGAAATTTATGAAATATGAAAGTAAAGATTACACCGCAGGAACACAGTGAAAGCATCTCCAAAGACCCTTGAAAAAATTTAAATAAGATGGAAAACCCAGGAACAATTCAGATTATAATAACGGTGAAATTAGTAAAGCGTTAAAGATAAGTGGCCAAATAAATGTCTTATGTGAGAAGAAAAAAAAGAAGAGCTATTATGATGATGATAATAATAATATTAGTAGTAGTAGTAGTAGTAGTAGTATCTTCTTCATCATCATCATCATCATCATCATATTATAATTGTATTTGTTCCTTAGTGCGTACGTTGTGTCCTGTCATTACCTCATAAATAATGAACTATTCCGTTTTGATCACGAGTAAAAACGGAGAAAAAATTTCAGCCCATCATTAATCCGTGTCAAAATATTTCTTGAACTATCTTATTTTAGCTTTTCCTTCCACTTGTGCTGATAGGCGTCGCGGGGAGACGCAGTCGTCTGCCTGGAGGAGAGATATCTCATGGGCTCTGAGAGAGTCTGCCACTGAGTCGCTTTAGAGTCTTCTTGGTCTGCCTCTCGCTCTCCAGCCGGAGTACCTAAGGGTGTATGCTGGTTTGATAGGCATACGAGTGAGGTGTCCGAACCACTTGATCCTCTGTCTTTCGATGTGCTGTATGATTGGTATCGCTCCTACCATATCTCATAGTGCCTCATTCCTGATCTTATCCCGCCTGGGTTGTTCACTGCTTTTCTCGGGCATTTCACAAGTGATCAGTTTCAAGGGTTTTGTTAGGGGCCATATCTGGCACTGGTATGTCAGCTTTGGTAGGAAAATGGCATTGATGAGATTTGCCTTGGTGCTCATGGAAATGCTAGGATGTTTTAGAAGAGGAGCAAGTTGGTAACTGACTGCATTGCCTTTCTGACATCTGGTCTTAATTTCTCTGTCTAGTTTGCTGTTTTCAGTGAATAT